ATGTCAAATTTATAATGTTAACATTTAATAAATATACATTTTAAATAAAACAAATGTACATATTAAAAAAAAATTGTTACCAAATATTAAAAACATTTTAGAAACTATACATTAAGTCAAGTTTGTGATAATTAAACACTTTATATAACGTCTTTAATGTATTTATATTGTGTGATTGTTCAAGCAATGTAATAAAATTATGAATAACGATGGCGAGAGATGTTAAGAAATTAACAATAGAACGTGCTTGAACTTTTTACAAGCATTAATGGCTTTTAGCAGGACCGCCATGGAAAATATATCTTGTATACGCGACTCCTTTATTACCGGCAAGGTGGTAAGACGCTATTGTATATGCGCGCCAACTTTTTCTCGCCATTCTTCCATTGAACTGGTTGAAAAAAATGGTCAGACCAAAGTAATCACCGCGATGGAAAAGCGGAAGGTTTCGTCGCCGGAATTTATAATAAATCTCCCGAGAGATCATCTTCATAACTTCACTGTACTTTTTACACCAAAAATACTCAAAAAACAGAGTTCACATTTTATAATCACCATTTATTGTTCATTATTTATGATATATGATCAGCTTCATTAAAATTATTTATATCTGTTGATAGGAAAAATGATTTTGTTTATAAAAAATATTTTTTCAAATATATTTAGTATTTTGATCGTAAAGTTTTCTTTCTTAAAATATTCGCTATACTGATTGCACTTTTTATCAACCTTTCTAATCAATTCTTAATCATCATATAATTTATATAATGTCTAAAATAATAATCATTAGTGCTAACATATTCTTATACTTATATTATAAAAATTGCCAAATATATCGCTAGGATCAATATTATATAGATAAGATATTAGACGGATGTTAATTTTTAGAATTATCTTCGCACTTAATTATCTTATTTTTCAAATTCTCCGTCATTTAATCGATCCTAATATCCCGCAGTGCGGCAAAATATATGATATCCTCAATTTGAACAAGAAACGATCACAAATCGTCTAGTATGATTACCGTGGCCGATAAGAATGGCAATCGAGATGCAAATACCAGGCTGCCGAAAACAGACAAATCACAGGCGATTCACAGGCCCTTCGGCCTCGTGAAGAGCAGAGCGATAATTACTACAATTGCATGGAGATAATTCCAGAGTCTCGTAATCGTCGACATTACATTGCATGTGTCGTAAATGCAAATGCTGTTAAGAATCTAAGATAAGAGATTAGTAAACAGTAAAAACTGTGAATACACGCCGCGCGCACTTCCTGTGGAAGTTGACAGCATTGTTACTTTTAATTTTGATTATTGTTAATTCTTTCCCGTATTAGCCGATTTTACATGACAATTATCTACTACTATAAATATGACAATTATAATATAACATTTCTTATACATAATTCTATTATGTTTAAATTATCGTTTAATTGCAAAAGTGTAGAGATAAATGTAATATAATATAATATATAATATACACATCAAATTTCAATGTAAATTATCGTAAAATCGTAAATCGTAAAAAAAAAGAATCGAAATTTCACAGTAACGGAATAACAGTGATTGGAAAATAGATAAATTAGAAAAGCGAAGCACTTAAAAGTATAGACTAAGTTTTTCGATTTATGTGCGTCGTGTAGGAAGTAGCACGCTTATTTTCATCAATTACACAAGCAGCCCTTCTCAGCCCATCTCCGTTCCCCATTTTTACGGCTTTGCTAACAAACCCTCTTCTATCTTTCCTTTCCGCAATCGCAAGGATCGTAAAACGCGACATGCGGCTACTGTTTCGAGAGTGTTGATCCAATGGTAGAGTAGTGTTTAAAGAGGATAAACTTTGTAATATTTTAACAAATGTGTTCTAATTTACACTAAATATATAAAAGTACCTTACATTCAAGGATTATATTTTTAAAATTTTATAAATTTAATAATAAAATTAAATAAGAATAAAATTAAACTAAGTAATATATTCTTGACAGACTTAAATCACAATTAAACTAGTAATCTATTTAATTTTCTAATATAATTTAATTTTCTCTCTTACTGTTAGATTTATCTATTCTATTAAAAACCTATTAATTACTGAAAGGACACATTACATTTTCTTAATTTATCTATAAAGCTGAAATCGTCGGTGCACTTAACGTTGCAAAGAAAATAAATTTCTTTCCATCTTATTCAAAACTAGGGGAGTGTACGGTGGAGTACAGTTCAATCGGAGTTCAAACGAAAGTTCGCCTATAATTGCGGCTAGGTTCGTACGAGGGAATGCGATCTAAGATGGTAGATTAGCCGGTAAAGAAAACCCGGGATGTACGCGCGGGCTCGCACGCGTGTAAATATGGGGCTGGTAAATAGGCACCGAGTCTCTCTCTCTCTCTC